CTGATGTTTACAGTAAAAACAGGAAGATATCAACCTGTGGATTATCTGAGGATCTTAGTACTGAATGCCCAATAACAAGGGACATTTACACACTGTTTTTAGGCCGTTTTTAGTCTGCTTTGAGGCTGTTTTGGGCTGTTTTCTGTCTCTTTCAGTTGTTTTTTTAAGTTTTTCTGGCTCGTTCTGCTGTTTTTCTGCCTTTTTTGCCCTTTTTCTGCGGTTTTCTGCCCAATAACAAGGGACATTTACACACTATAGGACCAGTTTGATAGAGCACTATTTCAGACAATATATATAATTAGGGGGTCCCCCTCCATCAGTTTGGGGTCATTGGCCTGGAAAACCTTAAAGACCCCTGGGTTAGGTTGTTGTTTAATTGGGTGGTTTTGGGCCTGCCTACATTTTCTCTAATGTTCTTACTTTTTTCTGCCCACTGGAGGTCTCTAGTGTCCATTTTTGAATACTTAATTCAAACAACTTAATAATGAGCTACTCTTTCAGAATTTCTTGTTACAAGTCCCTCTTCCAATTCCCAGCCATGGATCCAGATCCAGTTTTACCATTCAGCCGGTTTATTTTACAAAGCAAAGCTTAGGGTTAGCTCTACTGCTGAGCATCGTTGTCTGTCTGCCTGCTGTTTATGGAAAATAAATGAACAACACAACCAGACTTGATCTCCTTTATTGGTATGAAAAAAAGTGATAGTATCTACAGCATTTGCACAAAGTATTTACAGTAAATGTCCGCCTTTTGCTCAGTCAGAAGGTGGAGTGGCGGGGAGGGGACGGAGTTCAGAAAGATTCTCCCAGCAGGGGGCGCTGATACCCAGAATAATGCGGCCTTAGACTCTATTTATTAACCTCTTCTTTTGTTAGAAACCAAGCCATGTGCAGGACCTTTTATCATCAAGTCTAATTTGTTTTTAATCTCTTTTTCTCTATTTTTTTAATGTAAGACTGAAATCAGTTTCCCGCATGAGATCATTATTCACACATTTGGAAGTGATAGTGTTTAAATTTGATAATAGTGTTGTTGAATCTAACCTGCACTGTATATTAACACAAATTTAACACAAAATTTTTTAACTTCAATTGGGATTTTCATGCTTGGGTAATGCAGAAATACAGTGGGGGAAATAAGTATTTGAGCCCTTGCTGATTTTGCAGGTTTGCCCACTTACAAAGAATGCTTATTTTTCCTCATCAGATGGTTATCAATTTTCATCAATTCATATGATGTGATTTTCTGGAATTTTCTTTGGGATTCTGTCTCTCACTGTTAGAATGTACATATGATTAAAGTTATAGATCGTTGCATTCTTTGTAAGTGGGCAAACCTGCAAAATCAGCAAAGGGCTCAAATACTTATTTCCCCCTACTGTACATCTAACATCACATCATCACCCACAGATTCAAATACACAGCGCCTCAGATTTGTGCACCTGTTAATCTTCGGTTGTTGTTTTTATGTGTGTGTGTGTGTTTGTGTGTGTGGAGGAGTCTAATAAATATCTCAGTCCCGTGAGTCTGGATCCGGCCGGTTTTAGGAGGCGTGCTGGCGGATGCTGCTGGTTCTCTGGCGGAACCTCTGGGTCTTGAAGAAATCTAAGTCCTGGGTCTGGGTCCCGCCATCTTGAGATATTTCCTCCTCCTGCTTCTCCTCCTCCATGTCCAGACCCCGGACACTCGGCTGGGCCTTGATTTCCGTGAGCAGGCGGCTCATCAGCAGCAGGTCGGCGTCCAGCGGCTCCACGGAAATGAACGGCTGGCACAGGACCTCCACCATCCCGATGGCGGTCCCCACCACGGCCAATACGGAGCCCACCAGGTAGACCTTCAGCAGCCCCCGGCGGGGCCTCTGCCCCAAAAGCTCTCTGCAGAACGGGATCAGCTCACGCAGGCCCTCCATTTCATCCAGATCTGGAAAAAACAAGAGGAAAAATCAATATTCAGACTAACGTGTGGTGGTATTTGAATTAAACTGCTACCACACAATATATAAATCTAAGATAAACCCTATAAATTGAGGCAAAAATTTATATTAAACCTAAAATGTGGTAGCATTTGAATTAAACTGCTACCACACAACATATCATTCTGAGATAAACCCTATAAAGTGAGACAAAAAAATTAATAAATCAATATTCAACCTAACATGTGGTAGCATTTAAGACAAAATCTGTATAAAGTGAGACAAAAAATCAATAGTCAGACTAACATTTGGTGGTATTTGAAGGAAAATGCTAACACACAACATATCGTTCTGAGATAAACCCTATAAATTGAGGCAAAAATTTATATTAAACCTAAAAT